AGACAGCTAATTTAAGGCAGACCATTAGTAACTTAGATTCGCATATTCAGAGAGAAATGTTTTACAAAAGACTTCTGTCTTCAACCACACGTCGTCATATGGACAATCACTCAGCATTCATACAACTTAATGACCAAAAAACACATTTCAAGAATGACTATACTAGATTTAGAAACATTACTGATTTGCATGTTTAATATTACATCCTGCATGTTTAACATTCACTATTTGCATATTATTATTATTATTATCAGTAGTAGTAGTAGTAGTAGTAGTAGTAGTAGTTTATTATGGTAACACTTTATTTTGATTGTCCATGAGTATTAGTAGACTGTCTGCTTAATATTGCTATGTATATGTTGATACTGCTCCTTTAACAGATATTAAACTGACTATAAGAAACCTTGCAAGTAATGTCAACTTACATAACCCCAACCCCAACCTAAAAGTCTACTTATAATCTAATGAGAATTAGTTGGCATGTAGATGCAATGTAACTTAAATTCAACAAACATACCATTAACATAAAGTGTAATCTATATCATTATTATTATTATTATTATTATTATTGTTGTTATTACTATTAATTTAAGTATTTAGATTTATTTAGGTTCATTTCAGTTTATTATGGACTTTGGTTCTTGTTTGCATTGTTTTTCTTCCGAGATTTACGAACCCAAAAGATTCAAAGTTTGTAATTCTTTCCCTGTAATTTCTTCTTCCATGCAGCTGGTTAATATTGTGCATATACTGTACAGATCTCTAATTTGTGTTAAAATACATTATTAACATCTAGCCATTCATTTCAGAGCTGTACATCCTCGCAAATCTGCGAATGGGGTTTCTACCTCCTGCATTTCTTATAAGTAAATCAGATTGTTGAATGATGTTGTCACTGCTGTCATTTATTTCTTTGTGTTTAAATAAGGAATGTAGTAGTAGTAGTAGTAGTGCGCTGACACATGCTCTCCAGTGCTCACGGTGACCAAGTTCAATTCCCGATTCGAGGTCCTATGCCGATCCTTAATTTCTCTCTCTGCTCTCCATGCTTTCCTGTCAGTACTTTCGACTGTCCTATCCATTCAAGGTAAAAATAATAAAAAAATAAGCAAAGACCAATGTCGATGTCAGATGGAGGGTCGATTTCGTGATCCTCCGCCCTGCTCCCGTTGCAGCAGCAACCCGTTTGCGAAAAATACACACTTAGGCCCTGTTTACAAATACGTTTTAGTTTTAAAATGGCATTTTAAAACAAAAACGATCCACGTCCACACTGGCATTTCATCTAACATTTCTGAAAAGATCTTTGTCCACAATATACCGCTGAAAACACACGTCATGTGGCCACACACACAAACACTCACACACATTCACACACTCACATTCTGAGCTCCAGGCAGTCAGTAAGTGCTTTGAGCTCAAAACTTCAGAGAGAAGTGCACGTCAGACAGTTAATTAAGGATGTACCGCTGCATCTCGTCTCACTATAGTTATTAAATGTGATATTTAATTAATCTTGTCTCTATCTAACAAATCTTCTGTCTTTTGAATTTATCAGGTAACGTGTCACAGCATCAGTACACTGCTTCAATCATACGCTTTAATGCTTGTACTTTAACCTCAGATACTGTTGGTTGGTTTCTGTTGTTGTGCACTTTTTTTACCAACCGAGTTTGTCGACGCCATTAAAACCTCACAGATCACTCTGCCTATTCATGCCAGATACACGCAGCAAAAGTATTTGTTAGGTTATAAGTTGTGTGTAACCTATCTTTGTTTATTTATGATTTGGTTATGGGTAAAACAAAGAATATGCAGGTCAGGTAGTTAAAACGGTAGGCTACAAAAAATGTATTAGTTATGAATTAACTAATTATTCATAAATAAATAATTCAACGCCACTTATGACAACAATGCCATCATCTATCCTGATGTTTCACATTAGACATCCTACAATGCCAAATTGGTCGACATCGCGCAACCCTAGTCAGATGTTGGTTCAATATTGCCTTCTTGCCATTTTAAACTGTTCATTAAAAGAATGAGAATCATAGTTGTTTTGGGAATCAATCAAACTGGTTAGTTTGTATTTTTTAAAGATTTTTTTTGCCTTCATTATGATAGGACAGTGAAGGAAGTGACAGGAAATTAAGTCAAACAGAGAAGAATGGTTGTGATCTGGAAATATTCGCAAGGAAAGACACAAATTCGAGAGACCCATAGTGCAGTTGAATTATATGTTGGCTCTCGGTTCTGACTGCTATTATTTTATTTCATCAAAGCCAGTAAAGACCACAAATGTACAAGATATGGTGCTGATTTTAGACGTACATTATTTAAAAATAGATTTAAATACATACAATTTTAATAAATAAAACTTACAGTACTATACTCTTATATAATATTCTGCCTGGTTATACCTAAAGTTGGCCATACCATAGGTCAGCAGTCATTAGATGTCATGTTATTATCTTGTTTATATGACCTTGATGAGATCGAGATTAGGATTTGAATGAGCCTCTGAACCTCTATCTGTGGAGATTCAATGTTTACTTGATTCGGTGTTTCCAAACCCCTCAACATTAATTTGAAGATAAAGCTGATTCTCTGGGTTAAATCATGGCCTTGTAGCTTACAATTAGAGAGCAACTATGGGACTGTTTGCTGGTAGCCAAGAGCATTTCAACTTAATTGCATGAGTGGAATAATGAAGCGTCTCTTTCACACTCTCACACACATTCAGACACATTGTACAGATGCACAGGCCAGCTGTTAAAATTCTGCCCTTTGCCAAAACTTGCCTCCATCCTCTTGAAAAGAATTGACTATTCCTCTGGAGCCAAAAAGAGAGCACAGGCTCATCCAAAATGGCACTTAATGTTATGGAAGTGTTAAATTCTGCTGCCTAGCTTCCTTGTAGAAAACAAACCATTAGAAAGGAACAAAGTGAGATTAAATACACATGCTCAGTGCTCTCTGTGGTAATAGATGGCATCTGCACACAATATTTCCAGCACAATGCGGTAGTTGGCTGCAAGAATTAATTTAATTTGGTGGCAGAAAAGGCCCTTTTGTTTACTAAATAAAGCCAAAATCTGTGCTATAGTGGGAATATATAGCATTTCAGCAACTTTAACAGCTGCTTTAGAACTTTTGACACTAAGCTTAACTCTGGGTTAATGTTTTTTAAGCGTGTGTGCTAAGACTTAGCTTATGGAGCCTGGCTAATTTATACTGCAACAATCAGCAGCAACAGACACTTCATTGAGTGTTGTTGGATCAGAATGTCAACCTTATTGGTCACAGGGATTGTTATTTATAGCTCATTTTAGCAGATATTAACATGTTGAGAATGTATAATGTTTACAAACTGATGTACAGTCATTTGTGCATGGTGTTTGTTGCCCCTTTGCAATGTAAATAGTGTAAAACCCCTTTGCAATGTAAATAGTGTAGCTCATAACTATTGAGTGGCTTCGGTAACAAAAATGTAATTGTCAGTTTAATCTTCAAAGTTTATACCCTGCCATGTACACAGTTTGTACACACAACCACATTCTACGCTTGAATTAACTGAGATACACTCAGTAAATAAAACATCTATATGTGTGGTAAAAGAAACCGAAGGAAAATGAGGTAAGAGTCATGGCTAGCGTGTCGTTAGTGTTGCCAGATCTTCCTATAGAAAAAACACAAAAAATACTGAAACACATCTACTCATTATATAAACAAACCTATAAACAATCATGTAACGCATATAAGTATTACTAACAAAATGCCTGGTGCGTTAAGACAAGAAAAGTGTGTCCTACAGATGATTTGTCAAGCATGGAGCACACTCATGCATCCTACAATTATGTGATGCTCTGTGTGGATGCTTTACTAAAAAGATAGGTCTTTAATCTAGTTTTGAACTGAGAGAGTGTGTCTGAGCCTTGGAGTTTGGAGCCATAAATGAGAAGATTTGATCTCCTTTAGTAGACTTAGCTATTCTGGGTACTACCAGAAGCCCTGAGTTGAGATCTTAAAAAGCAGGTGGGATTGTAGCAAGACAGAAGGTTGCTTAGATTAACATGAGCTAGATTATTTAAATCTTTAAAGGCGAGAAGCAATATTTTACCAGGCAGCCATTGTAAGGAGGATAAAATTGGGGTGATATGATCATATTATCTTGACCTGGTAGCTGCATTTTGTACTAACAGAAGTTTGTTAATAGAGGAGGCTGGGCAACCAGCGAACAGAGCATTACAGCAATCCAGCCTAAAAGTCATAAAAGCATGGACTAGCTTTTCTGAATCTGAGATAGATAGCATGCTTTGTAACTTAGCGATATTTCTCAGATGAAAGAAGGTGCATGCTATCTATCTCTTGTCTGCTGACAACATACGTCATATGTATAGATATACTTTCACCATCTAGATTCTGTATATGTTTGGTCAAATTTTACTGTTCAATATGCATCAAATAGTTAATTATATGCAAAAATATACATGACTTTAAGAGCAGAGTAAGTGGACACTAAAATGGATAGTCCAGTCAAAACATTAAAATCCTGGCATCATTTAGTCATCCTTAACTTGTTTCAAATCAGTTTGAAGTTGGTGTTGCTGATGTTTTTTTGTTTTTTTTGGATAAAACCAAAGGAATTTACAATGAAGAATGTTGGAAATCGTCTGTAACCATTGACTTTTATAGTATTTGTTTTTGCTGCTATGGATAACAATGGTTACAGGTTTCCAACATTCTTCAACATCTTTTTTTGCGTTCAACAAAAAAAAAAAAACTCAAGTAGGTTCTGAACAAGTCAAGGGTGAGTAAATGATGACAAATTTTTCATTTCATTTGCATCATTTCACTGTTTAAAAACTGCTGTTTGCATAAATGTATAGTAAGAAAACGTTTAAGACTACCTAGAGTAACCCAGAAATATGAACAGAAACTCCAGAATCCATATCAACTTAAAACAAATTCTTAATTTTCTCTCGTGTTCTCCTCTGCAGATCTTTTCTATCGTGATCTTTGGATGTATTGCTAACGAGGGCTATGTGAACCGTCCAGACGAGGTGGAGGAGTTTTGTATCTTTAACCGCAACCAGAACGCCTGTAACTATGCTGTGGGAATGGGAGCTCTGGACTTTCTCTGCTGTGCTGCTTTTCTGGCACTGGACATCTACTTTCCTCAGATTAGCAGCGTTAAAGACCGCAAGAAGGCTGTGTTAGCTGATATTGGTGTTTCAGGTAAACTGCAAATACAAGTATTGCCTGTCAGTATTTTCTATTACTAATGTAATGCATTTAATGCAAAGGTTCCAACTCAAACGTTTAATTATATTCTCATGGACAATAAAAAATTATTTTAGGGAGCTTTAAAAAGTCTTATAATATTCCTATGATGTATACTTGTATTTAAGATGTTTTTTACTCAAAAGCCACTTCGTTGTACATCTGAACTGCCAATAATGCAGTTTTAGTATAAGTTATACTGCCCTCTGTTGGCTAAATGTAATTACTGCTAGACTTGCTGCAGATCTTTGCTGGATTTGTGGTGCAATGGCTCCATCTAACAGTTTTCAGTAAGATCGTCTTTATTTTTCACACAATATGCTGTTATGCTATTTAAGGTTTGTTTGTAGATAGTTTTTTTTTTTTGAGTTGTTTAATTGATCTGAATTTATGTCTTTTTTTCTCTCTCTCTCAGCCTTCTGGTCTTTCGTGTGGTTTGTGGGCTTCTGTTTTCTGGCCAATCAGTGGCAAGTGGCTAACCCAGAAGATAACCCTCTCAAAGAGGGAGCAGACGCTGCCAGAGCGGCCATCACCTTCGCCTTCTTCTCCATATTTACTTGGGTTTGTACTGGCTTATTTCGACATCTCAGGTTTTTCATTCAGTGTAAAATGCTAGATCTAGTTTATCTAATCAAATTTGACGTACATTTTGCTTTTGTTACATAGATTAAAGCTGGCCTCTAATTTGCTTTAGATTATCAATGCAGTGGTGTTATTTTTATTTCACTTATATATGTTTTTTTTTTAACTAGACACTTTCGTTTAAATAAGACCTGTTCAGCAACGATTGCCAAATTATTTCCAGTTTAAGTTATAAATAAAGTGATAAAACTTTCTTTTATGCCAAAAAAAACATTAGAAAATTAATAAAAAATCATGTTCCATTAAGATTTTGTAAACATCCTACCCTAAATATAGCAAAACATAATTTGTGAGTTCTAACAAACCATGCATCAATGGAAAGCTTATTTAATTACATTTCAGATGATGCCCAGCAGGCACACAACATCATAAGACATTACTATTAAGTTAGTTTTAGGTCGTGATGTCAGGTGACCAAAATTAATGTCTAGCCAGCGTCTAAGGACATTATTTTTACATCCAATAATAACGTTAATATTTGATTGATTTCAGGTTGTGTTGGAAAGTGATATCAGTATTTTAGTATTGTTGTCATATTGACATCAAATACTGACATTTATTTGGCGTCCAAAATCCAACATCTGATAGTCGTCATGTTGGTAACCTAACTAGACTATAGCATTAGATTTGAATGTCAACGTCAAGGGTACAACGTCAATCTGACATCATGTTGATGTCCTGTGCCTGCTGGGTGTATACTGGTTTTGGAACTTTTCTGATCTCATTCAAGCTAAATAATCTTCTTCAGCCAGAATTTAAACAAAATTTAATATATTGTTGTTGACTTTTTTTATTATTACTAGGTTCAGCATACACAAGATAAATCAGATTACAGTATGATCACATTAAATGCTGTAATAATTGTTCATTTTATGTGCATTAGGGCTGTGTGATTAATTAAAATCAAATCGCAATCGCAATATGAAACATTGCGATTAGCTAATCGCAAAAGGCTGCAATATGAAATATATATTATATAACTTCCTCCACCCAGAGCAAATGCGTGACTGCCATCTGTGTGTGACTGTCTTACTAGCCAGTTGAGTGAGCACACTTTCATTATGACCAATCAGAATTGCGCAATCGAACTATGTGGAACACCCACAATAAAAACAAACAAACAGGAAAGCGCGAATGAGCATTAACTGATAAATTATAATCAAAGAAAAGTAGCAAGTCAGTAATATGGTAATATTTTGGTTTCAGAATCACAGAAACCAAACAAAAACAGGTAATTTGTAAAGCCTCCTTTTCAATGCACACGTAAAAACAACAAGCGACAGACCGGAAGTCATTCATTTCCAATGGAGAGTAGTCCGGGAGCTGCATGGAGTTCCAATCATCTCCGTATGCAGAAAATTCAGATGCAAATTGAGGTGCGGATACGGTCTAATATTTGAACTCCTGCGACTAGACCGTATGCGACCAGCCAACCGCATGTGATGTATTTCAGTGTTGTCCAAGCAGGATGTCCGTGCACACAAGATGAGATATAGGAGGTGTTTCGTCATTTTTTTAATAAAAAAAGTCTATATTAAAAAAACATTTCTATTCATAAATGAGTAATAAAAATATTACATTTAAATGTTGTCTCCACATTCTCTCCAAAATCTTTAGCGGTCTATGAGTTTCTTGTATTCATTCATTCAACCACAGAAAATAAAAGCTCTTGCTTTTGCACTCCTTTATTTCGGACACTGCGAGAACAGCTTCTCTCCCATGGTGCGCGACAAAACTGAAAATTCTGTGCGACTGCCACAAGGGAGCGTAATCCGACAGTCTTGTCCAAATGTCATGTGCAGTGAAAAGGCAGCTTAAGACCTGCGCAAAATTGTTGCCACAACCTGAGGAATTACAACAACCAGAACCTAAAAAAGCACCACAGGCGGCTAAATGAGGAGCGTCCTGCTAAAAAGTCAACTGCAAGTATTGCCAGTGACACAATCTAGTAGCTAGCAACAGCAAAGTACAATTTCAGAGTTGTTTGCTAATAAAAGTTGATATCTTTTCAGTTCCAGACATTGCATTTTAGCTGTAAGAAGCTACAATACAGATTATTAAGCTGAAGCTTGACTACAAAATTAAATTGCAACTCAAATCGCAATATCTGTCAATAAAATCACATTTAGATATTTTCCCCAAATGTGCCCGCCAGTACTGAGTACCGGAAGGGACGTGATGGTGGGGGGGGGGGGGAATGGGTAGAAGAAAAAAAACTGAGTGGGAGAAAAAAAAAAACAGTGATAGGAAAATATACATTTTTAGAGTTTTTGCGTTCACTCGCAAAGATGTTTTGCGTTATTTCGCAAAACTGTTTTTCCACAAACACCCCCTGTTCACTTTATAGCTCACTAATTTTGCTGTATTTTACCATTTTATCCCTCTATCATCCTATCATGAAGTATTTTCCCATATTTCTTGTGTATTTTAAATCTTAAAGCACATTGAAATTAATATAAAATTGTCTGCATTCACTTTTTTTCCCATTTAAAGCTGTGCATCGATCATCGCCCTTCATATACAACCTCTGAATTAGAGAATGCATGTATACAAACGCGCTCTGTATGATAACTGATGCCAGATCAGCTTCTGTACACACCATATAAAGTGACACCTCTGTTATCAAACAAGTGAAGAGCAGCAAATAAATCAGTAGTTTTGTTTTGTTTGATAACAGAAGTGTCACTGTAAGAATGCACAGATCTATAATGAAAGTATTACATTACTTTAGAAACTGTTTGTGCTCATTTAAGGAGAGGGGTCTGGCTGCAGACCTGGTGCAGTGCAATCTGGGCTGCATCCAATGCTTTTTAATGGGCTCACCTAACACCACCCCTAACCCTACCTATCACAGTGACGTCGCTAGCTCCATTTGAGTGCATTGTGTCTTGTGTCATAAAGGCTGCATCCAGATACTATTGCATTTAAGAGAAAATTAGTTGTGTTTAAAACAAAAAACCCCAGGATGGACATGTCTACATATTATTAAGTGTATTTGCCTGTTTAAAGACACACCCAAATCCCAAGGTGTCCTGCACTTTTGCTCTTCTTTAAATGGCATGTACAGAAGCTGATCTGAGATCAGTTTATCATAAGGAGCGCGTTCGTATACATGCATTCTTTGATTCAGGGGTTGCATATGAAGGGCAATGATCGACGCACAGCTTTAATGGAAAGAAAGTAAATGCAGACAGAGTGCTTTCAAGATAAAATATGGAGGAGGGTTGACATGCATGAAGTGAACAGGAGGTGTTTGTGGAAAAAGATATAAGCAAAACATCTTTGTGAGGGAACACAAAACATTAAAAATATATATTTTTCTATCACCCAGTTTTTTTTTCTTTCACTCGTTTTTTTCCCACCATTACATCCTTTCCGGGTCTCTATACGTCAGAACACCATGACCACTATTTCAGTCCTCCATTGTGTTCTGTAACATTTGTGACACTGACCAAAAAGAGAACAGCAGCTCCTTCAGCCTTCTAAAAAAAAAACATTATGTCAGATATGTCATTAAACATGTTACCAAAAGACTGGTTGAAAACAAAAGATAATCTAAAATGTTTTCAACAAGTGTTGTGTTCTCATTCATTTGGCAATATTATGTTTTCTGAACCTGGCGTGAAGGTCTTCTCATACTTTTACTGTAGATTTTCAGCATATTTTCTCTTTCAGCTACACTTTTGTTCAATGAATGCCTGCCTTTCTTCTCAGTGAATGACCTGCAAACATCAACCTCTGAACATGACCTGTGCATCTGATTCATGTGTCACTAATCTTCTGTCTGTTCTTTACTGTCTGGCTTTTCATCCTAATAATTGAGTTATATACAGAAGTAACCCTTGCTTTCCTACTAACATCTAATTCCCTAAAAGCATTTCTCTTACAGAAACCACAGAGCTGCTTCCATAAGATTAACCCAGTGTTGTTGAAATGTTTTTTTGAGATGTTCTTCCTGTTGATCGCTGGCTCTGGCCGATCTGTTTTTCTCTAGGGTGTTCTTTCACTTCTGGGTCTGGAGCGCCTAAAGAAAGTCTCATTTGAAGAGGAATACAACAAACTCTTCACCCCACATACGCCACCTCCATTCGTCTAACATTTATCATATCAATTTGTTTACTGTGTGCTTTAGACATCAATTACAAAAATCATCCTCAAAAGCAAATGGATGCAAGTGAAGATGTGTTTTTTTTATGTCACAGAGACAAATCAAGCTGTAAACCCCCTGATATCAACAGAGGAGCGTTTAATGAAGTATGGATTTATGACAACAATACCTGATTTTCATCTTTCAGATTTACACATTTCAGTGGTCTCTTGTTATTATATGTTGGTGTCGTTTACATTAAATCTTGGCGTTAACGCTTGAAAGTTTGTTTTTAAAGTATTTTTTTTTTATTAAATTAATACATTTCTTGGGCAAAGATGTAATTCAGTTACTTTGACATTATAATATAAATTATTTTTATTTTTAAATAATTGTTGTTCATTTGAGCTTTGGGTCTTAATGTATCCTAGTTTTTCACAAAAAATGTTTTCATCAGTGGTAATAAATACATCATCAGGACCAAATCAGCATATTAAATTGATTTCTGAACAATGGTGAGAAACTGAGAACATCAGTTTATAATCGGTTTAGTATGTCATTAATTAAAATGCAGCACTGTGTTCTAATATCTGTACATTGTACATTCCCTACAAATTTGAATTCTAAAATTTGTTTCTTTACAAACTTATAGTCTGAGCCCAGTTTTTCCAAAAATGCAATCTGGATCAAAATTGGTCCAGATTTGAAAATCCCATATTTTGCTATCCAGGATTAACTGATCTCTCTTACATTTATGACAGTTTTTTTTTTAAGAAACATGAGGTTGGATCACTGTGATCCAAATACCAAATTTCAGGATTACCAAATCCTGTTTACCAGAGCCTTAAATTGAACCAACTGTGTAGGCTACTGGCTTAGCAGAGAACATCAGCTAGGCAAAATACCAGTGGCCACAAACAGCCATTGTTTGTTTTAATGGTAAGAAACAGAAACACTGCTATCAACAAACATTTGACATTTTTTTAGTTTGTTCTAATACAATACTGCTTTGACATTGTTTTGTTGTTGTTTACCATATCTCAATAGATGTTACATGCTTCATATAGGCTTCAAATATGAAGGGATTTATATATCATCAGTAACCATTATGTTGGTGATCATTCACTTAAAAAATAAAACTTTTATTTTTACTTTGTTTGGTGCAAAAAAATCACTACTGAATCCTTCCTTCTGATTGGATTAGGATAATTCAGTTTTTTATCAAAAAGATCCCAATCTGAGTTTACAGTTTTAAATAACCCAAAGGGCAGGTTCGATCTAAATCAAATGTAAGATTGGATTACGTGGTCTGATCTTAATTGAAAATCCCTTTTGTTATTTTTGAAAAAAAAAAAAACATTTTCAAGATTTGATCCAAACCGTGATCCAAAATCCCACTGGATTACTTTTGAATAACTGGGCCCTGTTTGTTATTTTTAAAATTGCTATTCACTTTTATCTAACTAGGGGGTGCCACTTGCACATGCAAAGTTCAGCTGAGTGCAACAGCAGTGTTTCCCAACCCTGTTCCAGAAGGCACACCAACAGGAAAATGAATGGGTCAGATAAGGGAGAGAGGTCTGGATGCAGACCTGGTTCAGTGCTATCGGAGCTGAATCCAATGCTTTTTAAGACGCTCACCCAACCCTACACCTCACAGTGACGTCACTAGCTCCATTGAGTGCTTCGGGTCTGACATTGAATCACTGAGATATGCAGCTCGCATCATCAAGATAAGGAGACATCCAAAATATGTACTGTTGGAGTACCTCAGGGAACAGGGTTGGGAAAACCCTACTCTACAGGATGCTTTGCAACATTGTATAATATAGTGTAAGACTATCATATACTGGTTTTTTGACATGTTGTCCAAAATACACTACAGCCTACTTTCAGCTTACTCGGCTCCATTACTGTCATGGTGTTTCAGAAAGGTATCTTAATTCATATGTTTACAGTTGACCTGCTCTTAAAATTTAAGATATTGTTCCTGTGTGCCATGTCAACATTTGATTGATTAAACGGTCTTAAGTTTGACTGCATTTCTGGTTTGTTTTGCTTTGGCATCTACTGGATTTTTCTTACCAAAGCATTTCCTAAATTCTTACCTCTGTTAAACTGACTAACCTGTTAAATTTTTTGATCTTAATGCTTTTCTCTCTTTTTTTCTCTCCCCCTTTCTCTCTTCTCATCCTTCTCATTAACCTTTTTTAATTAAACCTTTCTCTGCCTCCTTTTTCATTCACTCTTCACCATCAAACCTGAAAAACCTTGGAATTTCCTTTGTAAACCTCCCCGCATCTTCACTTTTCTAAAGGCTGGTCAAGCTTTCTTTGGATTCCAGAGGTACAAGTTAGGTTCGAGCTCGTCTCTCTTCTCTCAGGACTATACTGATCCCAGCCAGGATCCCGCAGCAGCGCCCTCTGAAGGAACAGAGTACACCGGGTACAACGCAGACATGGAGGCTAACTATGACGGCTCTGGTGGATACCAGAACCAAGATTACTAAGGTTGAGTATTAGGATACACACAACAGCCTTAACCAGCTAGGCTGATCGGGTTACATGGGGGAAAATAATGTTTGTCTAAAAAAGGACTTATTTTGGGCATTTGGGGGTGGAATATGGGGACCAAAGCAAACTGAGGGGAATTCAGGGGTTTGTTTGGTGCTATACTTACCCCTTTTGGAGTTTATTATGGGGTTTGGAGGTATTTCTGTTCTTCTGGTGACAATGTATGATTAATGTCTATCAATATGATATGATATTTGCCGTGGCACAAGATCTGTACACTAGATTTTGTGCCACTAGGAATTTTTGCCTTCAGTTTCAGGGTTATTTTGGGCTTGGGGAGGATTTAGGTGATTGGTCCATCCAGAGTAAACACTTCCAAGTGTCTGTTAGAGAAAACAGGATTAGTTTAGAACAAATTATCTAGACTTGTGAAAAAAGAAAGCTGTATGTTTATTTCTACAATAGGTAAAGGCACTAACTAGTGACCAAACTTAATATTTTCAGAGACCACAGTGTCTTTTAATGTTAAAACATGTAGGTGATTAAGTAGATTGTTACATGAACTCTTAACCTGCCACAAGATAATCCATAAGTAGTTTTGTGCTGCCATTTTACCAAGGCTAAACAAAACTATGTAGGATAAAATAAATATCTGCATTGTTGGCACAGAGCGTAGCAAAAGAACCTATGTAAGATCTTACAGATAATGAAAGTAAAAAAATACTGGAAGGGAATTTGTAGGTTGCTGAAATGGAAGCCGTTTTTTGTTTGTTTGTTTTTTTTTTGTAGCATGCCAGCGATTGCATTATTTTAAGGTTTCTTTACAGAAAGGCAACATTTCATATGTACAGTGGCCTCAAATACTACTCAAAATATAAAACTTAACTTGAATTGAAAGCTAAACACTGGCAAAGAGAAAACTTGTACCCTCGCACAACATTCTGATCTGCATCGATTATACTAGACTGTATTGCTTCACATACAGTTACTATAGATAGACAACACTTTTATTGTGATTAAGGGGAAAACCTCTGTGATTGACCTGAAAATTAGCTAAATAATTTCATTAAAAATCACATTTGGGTCAGTTAGCATTCCTGCCATTTTTAAGAGCAAATCAAAGGAGATGAAGCAAAAGAAACTGGCTTTTATACCTTATGTTTTGTGACAGAATTTACTAAACACACAAACAATGCTCAGTTGAATGCACTTATTGTATGTGTGCACTTGTAATAGTGAAAAATGTATAGCAGGGTAAGTCGAGGATTTTCAGATCTTTTTTTCATGCAATATCAGGGACTTTTGTTAAGTCACTTTAGCTGCCATTTATCAAAATGTATTTAGTATCTGTATCATATCATGTTTTTTATTGTGTTTTTACACACATTTTGTCTATTGTTTTGGTTACAATGTTTTTCAGCGACATTTTATTCCTTTTCTGTTCATCAAATAGCAGTCAGCAAGCTATAACTGTCAACTTACGCTAATGTGTATGCATGTATTGTAAGGTATGCATTTCAAGACCTGTCACGAAATTAGGAGGTAAATTATCAATTGTTGCTCTCTTAATGGCTATTAAAATCATAAACATTTATATTTAAGCTTAAACCATTTTAATATTATTCAAAGCAGAGCAGTGTTTTTCCATTCACTATACACTTACGCTTTGAAACAAAATGGTTTGAGTAATGTTAACTTATTTATATTGAGTCATAAACACATATGTGTTCCTATCATTAAACATTTAAAATATTAGTACACTGTAAAACCCAACAGTCAACTTAACTCAAAACTTCCTGAAAGTAAATCTACTCATTTGAAAAGAGTTTTGAACTCAGTGTTAAAGGTAATGAGTTAAGTAAATACCTAATTACTTCAACTTAAATGGAGAAAGTTCACAGTACTCATATACTGTCGATTTTTTTTAACTCAAATGGTTTGTTGCAATCGATTTCCTCAAACAGTTTGAGTTGTCTTAGGCCGTACTCACACTATGTACAGTTGCCTCGAACCGGGCCAAAGCACACTTGTCCCCCCGCACTCACACTACAATCGGGCCTGGGCACTCTTACGTCATCGAATATAATACACTTCTGTGGGCAAGATCACAGCTATGGAAACGTTTATTTTGACAAATGTTTGGGGCCACTGTGCATGTTATTTTCAGCATGGTAGACGTTTACATTTTTATACCAGTGATTTAGACATAACCTTTAATGATGGTATGTCATTTAATCGCGAATGTAAACATATGTGGTGCAACACTCGATTCCTGACTTTGAAAAATGTTTTTGAAGTATGGCCAGACCATTGCTAAGTTAAAGCAATTAAATTTATCAGAAAAACAAACTAACGCAAATCCCAGCAGGCACAGAACATCAACATGACGTCAGATTGACGTACCTCAATGTCGTGGGCGCCATTGTCAGACGTTGCATTTCGGTTACCCTCCAACGCAACCTAAAATCAACCAAATATCAACATCTAATGATGTTACATCTTGACGTTGTGTCGATGTTACCACTCCTTGGGTTTTTGTTTTGTTGTACCTGACAATTAAATGTAAGTATTTGATGTCAATTTGACGTTGTATTAAGATGTTGGCTCAATACTGGGTTTTTGTCACTTTCCAACACAACCTAAAATCATCCACATATCGTTGTTATTGGACATCAAAATAACATTGTCCTTAGATGCTGGCAACTTAAATCTAACCTAATAATAATGTCTTATGACGTGTCTGCTGGGATGTTATCAAAAAGTCACTATAAATTTACTTCATTTAAATGGGATCATGTGAAATCTTTAGGGAAATGATCATGATTAATCATTACAATGGTGTTTAACTTGTGAAAAAAACTTTCATTATGTATGTAACGAGTCTTTGTAGCACCCTTAATATAGATTTATCTGGCCATCTTTTGCTATTTTATTTTTTGATCATAGTTAATAATCCTTGCACTGGAACAGCAGGGTTCTATGTTACAGATAAATAATGTTTTATTTTCAATTAAGTTTTGGAAAACAGAAAAATGTGCATAATTATGTACCTGAATATATATATATATATATATATGAAACCAGCATATTTTTATTTAACGACAAAGATGTAATATAATACATAAATATCTTTATAAATTTATTACCTAAACAACTGTCGGAAATAATCATATTAATTGTGTACTTTGCATTTGACGGTGTCATAGAATAATGTTTATCCTTTCTCTGTTTAGGAAGTGACATTGTTTTCTGAATCAGGAAACATTTTTTTATTTATTTATTTCTTGTTGAAACTTCTAAAAAGGAAAGCTACAATACAATCAGCATATTATGTAGGTGATGTATCAGATGTGTTATTATATAATGTATATGTGCAGTTATGGAGATACTGGGATTCAAAATAGTGTAAATTCTCTTGATGTGGTGAGTGTCCATTAACTGAATCACTAGGTTAATATGGCTGTGTATTTTGTCCTGTCTTGTATGTTGCTTGTCTGATATAGATGACAATAAAAGACATTGACTGATGGACATACTGTAGTTGACAAATTGTTGTACATAGCTGAATTTGTTAATGTTTTGTTGTAATTTTATGAATATGCTAACTAGATGAAAGGGGAAATCAAATAGAACTAAAGTAATCAAATATACATGTAAATATTAAGAATTTATGTTTTAATTTTGCATTTGTGAAAAACGTTAGGAAAAACATTCTCTAATAAAAGTAATTACTCTTATATATGCAAAACAATAATATTATTAATTGAATGTGGTAAAAAATGTCACTTGGATCATTTGAAAAACAAATTGAAAATGCAAGTAAAATAATTAAACACTCACGTATGTTTTAAAATTAAATGGGCCTAAAGTAATCAAATATACGGTTTAAATATTTATAATGTATGAGTTATGATTTTGTCCTTGAGGAAATTGAAATGCAATGTACCTAAAATTACTTACACATTATAGACATATAGATCTAACTACACTCAATGGCCACTTTATAAGGTAGACATGTCTCTAAGGAATCTCTTAGGAATATTTGAATGACCACTTTGTTGAATCTATGCCACAAAGGATTAAGGCAGATCTAAATGCAAAATAGGGTCCAACTTGGTACTAGTAAGGTGTAACTAAAAAAGTGTAAATAAATAAATGCAACGGTTTATTTATTTTTTTATAAACGCTTTTGCAAAACTCTTCACACAGTGAGCACAACAGAAGTCTTTGTGAGCTAAACTAAGGATCAATTATCATTGTTTTGGCACAAAATGCATTCAATGACTACATCTCTCAAACTCTTTTTTTCTCACTCAGACACGACAACTGCCAAAAATCTTTGTACATACAGGACGTTTTGTCCGTGCTTACATACTGTTTTCCAAATTGTTAAACTTATGTTCAAAACAGTAACTTGCAGTTTTTCTTCATTGCTTTGATGCAGTCGTCAACTGAATCTCCACGTTTTCAAAACAGTAAACACACAAGCCTAAACAGCGGCACTCATGGTCAAAATGACACATTTGC